CCGATGGTCGAACGTAACTAGCCTCTTCATGTCCGCTGATCTTAAGGGCCAGGTTTCACAACCGTACAGTAGGGTCGAACGTACCGCTGCATTGTACACTCTACCCTTCAGGCGAGAGTGATGTCGCGCCGGCGCCATAAGTGGCGAAGATTAGCAAAAGCACCTCGAGCTTTTGCTATACGGTTCGTGATCTCATCTTCAATCCCACGGGCGCTGATACAACTTCCCAGGTAGTTGAATTTCTGGACAAATTCTAGCTGATCCCCACCAAGGGTCAGCTCAGGAGGCGATCCCTGCCAATCTTGTAGGAAGGCTGTGCACTTCGATGGTGCAAAGCAAAGCCCGAAGGCGCTGACAGCCAGTGCTAATCTATCCAGTGCCGCTTGGCTCGTCTGGGAGCTGTCAAAGATTAGCGAAGTCAAGAAGTCGTTCTCCTGGGAGTAGCTCCACACCTTCTTAGTCGTGTCCTTAAATGCAGATTCCGATGACTACGTCAATAGCGAAGTTGATGAGGAAAGGTGACAGCGGGCATCCTTGTCTCATACGGCTGGAGATATTAAAGGGCGATGACAGCTTGCCGTAAGCCCCCACATTGCCCGAGCTACGCGCGTATAATGCTCGGATAATATTTACATATTTCTCAGGCACACCTTTCCTGAGTAGACAGTCCCAAAGGGCACATCGATCAACCGAATCGAAGGCACCTTTGATATCGAGGAACACGACAACGGTGGGCCGCCAATATATGTGACGGTGCTCCAACAACTGACGCAAGGTGAAGATATGATCGATGCAACCACGATCCTGACGAAACCCGCTTGCTCCTCACGAATCTGGCCTTCACGAGTGCCAGTCAGTCTGTGAAGGATGACAGAGGCAAGCAATTTGGAGGCGATGGAGATCAGACTGATTCCTCTATGGCTGCCGCATTCCGAATATGAGCCTCTTTTGAAGATCGGAACAATAACGGAGCGGCTCCAGTCGGTTGGGACAGTTTCCTGCTCCCACAGTTTCACTAGTAATTCATGTAAATCATCAACAAGAGCAGTGCCTCCGAATTTGAAGAGGGCTGGAGGAAGATCATCTGGTCCCGCGGCTTTGTTCAACTTCAACAGTCCGATCTCACGTTCGACTTCTGAGCGTTCGACCATCGGTGCCTTCGTAATTTAGCTCACATCTGGTGGGAACACCGCGTGAGCAACGAGCGTGTTCGACGCCTTGTTTATGGCACAGGAAAAGGAAATGAACCGCTCAGCACCGTTATTTCACGCATCAGGCTCCGATGGCTCGGCCACGTGTTACGCATGCCAGCCCACCGACTTCCGCGACGTGTGTTGTTTGCGCGCCGGGGTGTGGATGGAAGAAGAGGAGGGGTGGCCAAGCGATGACTTGGTCCAGAGGAATGAAGGCCCTCACTTCTGAGCTGGCCTCGGTTGGAGCGTCTCGGCTCCCTGGTTGGGGTCCAAAGGACGATGAACACGTTTGGTTGGACACACTTGCTGATATGGCTAGGAGCCGACCTCAGTGGCGTTCGTGCTGTGAGTTTCTTTGTCCCACCCCATCCCTCTTAGCCTCCCCCTCCAACCACGATCTCATTATTTAGCTTTATATAATCTTGCATAATATTTTTTTCTTTTTGGGTGCACAGCAGCCGGCTGGTAGCTTACCGGAACGATGCCCATCCGTTACCGGTAGCTCAGCCAGCTTGCACCAGTTGTTTTTTTCTCTCCTTTTTTTCTCTTTGTATTGCGGCACAGTAGCTGAGGTGTTCCCCACCTCTAGCTAACGTGTATGATGATGAAGACAATGAGCGTCAATGCAATAGGATCTCCGCCGTCATGCACGACGTAGGAGTATCTGCTTGTGGCACTGTCAATCGCCACCGCACTCGTCACTGGATATCCGAGGTCGATGAATCTGTTGAAATCCAGAAGAAAACTCTCGGCTGACTGAGCACGTGACCAAACGGACAGCCCAGGGAGCAAAGCGGATCAGTGGGCGGCGAAAAATCTAACCATTCCGACCGATTAAATTGCCTTTAGTAACTTGAAAAGCACAAGTAGAAGACGAAGTTCGGCAGATGCATGCATTTCGTATCGTCTCATCAGTGCCGATAACGATAACCGGTAAGTTTATATAACAGTTTGTGGGTACAGACATCCATATAAACAAACGCGAGAAAAAGGGTGTCTTTCGTCTACAACCAGGGCAGCCTGAGGCTGATCGATAATTGTTTTTGAACACAAAGTACTGGCTTAATCCGACTAATGGCAATCGCCTCGGCAAACCGGAGGAGCCGGGAATTAGTATGGCGAAGCAGGATTCTAAACGCCTTGTTGACCTCAATTCGGTGACCTGTTGTCAATAAGTGCCTGCCGATCAAAGATGCTGGTGGCCTGCGTACACACGTAGTCTGATTTGGGCTTGCTTGCTGACTAAGCCCGCATTGAACCCATTTTGGTATGTGCTCCTTTATTCGGGAACTCAGTGTTCTATTGGTTCTGCCTATGTAACTATCCCCGCAGTTACATACGAATTAATATACGCAATGGGAGTTGGCGCCAATAGGCTGAGTTTCCTTTAGTGGAGGCAACGGTAGCTTATGAGTTCGGTCAAGTATTACAACTTCGGCAGCACAGAAAGTGCTCTGTGTGGCGTAAATCAGACGTCTTCTGGTCCTCGAAGAAGCAATGTCACCCTTAAAGGGCAGCTCTAAGAATACCTTTTCCTTAGGCACAGTAGATAGAGCAACTTTTTTCACGGATTTCGCTGTACTTTCGGATAGTTTCGAGGGTAGCCATTAGCAATTAACGTGCTGGTAATTAGTTCTATTTCATTGGCTAGACAAAGTGCTCAGCCCAACGCTCTAAGCGTTTTGATAAGTTGTGGACAGGCTGTCCACTCTCGTCATGTATAGTTTCACTAACACCAGGTCTCCTGCTGCCCGTTTCCCGTATCAGACGGAATAACTTACGATGGTTACCAAGAGCAGCGGCCATTTTCATCTCTGATGCACGATGAGACCACCAGGATTCGCGGTCTCTCTTTAGGCTAGCACGGAGTCTTGCCCGGAGCCCTTTACGAGTTTCATTGTGTTCGCTTCCAGCCGGATTATATCGGCGAGCATCTATAAGTTCCAGAGACTGTGAAGAGACCCAATGTCCATGTTGGCTATTAGACATACCACATGAGGATCTTCCTGCTGCTAGTGAGGTCTGGTGAATATGAGACGAGTGAGCTTCAGTTGCATCCAGTGAGCGTTTATCCAACTCGCATGACAGCATACTTTGATAGGCTTTCAGAACAGCTGACTTTGCCAGTTCGCTGGTGTCGATGCGCTCACAGCGTCATCGTGGCCGTCCGCCAAAGCGCATCTGCAGGTCAGCACATACAAGTGCATGATCGGTGTCAACACCTGTGCTCCAAATCGAAAGACAGTTCTGGACGCAGCCTCTCCATCGGCAACCTATCGCAATGTGATCGATTTGCGTCCATAGCTGGTGGGCGCCAAGTCACCCACCGGCGGGTGGTGTCTGAAATTAGTGCGCACAAGAAATAAGTGAGCATCCTCACACAAATGAAGTAACCGCTCACCATTATCATTACGGGAGCCTATACCATGTTGGCCGCCCAGATGCATCTGTGAATAATTTTCCGACTTGAGCATTCAGATCCCCAGCCAGCACTACAGTGTCCGAGCTTCTTCTGTGGCTAAGGAGCTCGTTCAGTTGACGATAGAAGTCGTCTTTTACCGAGTCATCGCTACAGTTTGTGGGTGCATAGGCAGCGATAACGGATAGACACCTGTTGGTCCCACGAGACTTCAAAGTTTTGAACGAGCCAGCCAATCGGACAGCACACGTCCGGCTACTGATTGGAATCCAATCAACCAGAGTAGCTTCAGCCTGGGGATTCAGGACAATACCAACACCGGCTTGGCCGGTGCTCGAAGCTGCATCGTCACCGGATAGGCGCAATGAGAAAGTGCTGCTAGTGTCACCTGAAGGGAATTGCAGAGTGAGTACAGAGCTCGAGTCTTGCAAGCGGGTCTCCGATAAGCAGCATATATCGATCGATAGGGTCTCTAATGTTCTAGCAAGTGCTGCCTGTTGATCGATCTGAAGCAATGTGCGAACATTGAGGCATGCCAATCTGAAGGAGGATCGAGGGCTCCAAAGGTAAGCCGATGAACTGGAATGGGCCGCTTGCTTGGACATAGGCCAGTTGACAGGGCAGGAATGACGCTCCGCGTTCACGTGAGTTGGAACTAAAAGACAAGCGACTATTGAAGCAAGGTGGGGTAGGGCCCAGAATTGGGGGTTGAAAACAGGTGGGATAAAAGTGAAGCTGGAACGGGACGATAAGGGTGAAAAAGCGCAAGAGGGGGAATAAGAAGTCGGGAAGGTTTGAGCAGTAGCATCCAAACCCCTACCCATCCTGCCCGATGCAGCAGATAGGGCACCGTTGATTATCCTCTGCGGTGGCCAGAGCATCAGAAATTTCTTTGAAGTGAGATCCAAGTAAGAAACAGTATGGTCACATATTAGTGAAACAGAATGTGGCTGTACATCTTTAGTACTGTACTATGACGAGTTAGCAGTCGATTTTTGATGAGCGTGGATGGTCTTTGTGAGCAGTAAAAATCCATTCACACCAAACGTAAGGCTACGCTGGAAGACCTTAGAGCTACCGTTACGTGACCCAAATGTCTCACAGAGGACACATATACAAGATGCTCTACCGGTCACTCTAGTGTATGGTGGCCGGTCAACCATGCACAGCGGGCGTCGAGAAGACAAACAATAGTATAAACAGTAACATCGAGCAGACGCTCCGGTGCTACGCAACCACCACTGGTCGCGCCTGACCTGGGTGTACTGCGAGTTTGCGCTCGCCTAAGCGGGTCCGAAGCAGTGGCATGTGAATTATATGGCGGTCGTGTAATCTTTTTGGTCGCGAGAAAGGAACAATAAAACGGCAGAAAAAAGGAGGAAACTAACTTGAAGCTCACTGAGGTCTTCCAGCTGAGCATTTTCTAAATCTGAATCCTGTGTACGTTTAATTGGAAATGACAGACAAGAGAGCATCTAAGAAATAAACAACAAATCAGTGAATACTTCGAAGTAATTATCGCTGCGTCCGCAATAATAGGCGGTCGGATCCGGATCAAAATGTTTGACCAACTTTGGTGGGTACAACAAACCGTGCTGCTTGTAGAGACTGAAGGTATTAATATCTGACTGGGAAACGTACCCGAATAACAGAGACCCCAGGAGTGTAACATCGAACTCCAGACAAGTGGCGAGTATTCGATAGTCGACATCGGAAGGAGTATGTGTGACAGAAGAATGTGGAATAATCCAAACAACTGAGACTCCATCAATTTCAGCTTGGATGTAAAAACCCTTGATGCTGATGAACGCCTAAATGGAGAATAATGAGCTAAGGTAGTTGCGCACCTTCCTAACGGCTTGCACAGCAATCACAAAGTTAAGGAATTCTATACACAGGCGGCGGCTAAGAGCAATGAGAGTTGGACTGAACTGGGTAAGCCGCGGCAAACGAGCGAACAAGAATATTAGATTAAGGCTATCACTTAGGTCGCTCAATGCATCACGTCTAGTGGGATAGCTGAAGAATAAATCTTAAGAACAAGAAACATGTACCGTTCCTTGACTACATGAGTCAGAGAATATCGTGGTTTATTCACTCTGATTCGAAACTCCTTATCTTTGTCCTTCTTTTCCCGCGCTTTCTTTAGTTTTGTGTAGTATATGCGAAGTAGACGAAACTTTTTAATCAGTGGCTCGTGCGCCAAAAAAGCAATATCTTTCGCATGGTAAAATATTCTGGGCTGACTGTTTCCTTTGCCGACTTTCTTTCGGTTGCTCGGTTCTGTCGGATACACCCCCTTCAATATGCATAATCGTCTGAAGTTCGGCAGGCTAAGCTGCAGACGCCTCATGGCCTGCTTCTGTGTAAGAAAGGCTACACAGATCCCCTTCTGATGCTGAAAAACAAGTTTGTTGTCATGGAAAACTCATACCTTCTTCTTTAGCTTAGTCATGTTAGGTAAATTGAGGAGAACGGACAGGAAGCAGCGAGAGCGTCGGATTAACCGAAAACAGCCGATCGTAATTTAGTCGCGGTACTGTTTGCTGTACTGGCTGCTAAGGAGGAATGTTATGTAATACGTTCTTAAGGCTTTATAAGGATTTAGTAAATAAAAATTGACTTAGGGGAATGAAACTGGTGGTACATTATTTTACGATGTATGAATGGATGTTTGTTTTAGTGTACTGTGAGCTCTACGCGGTTCAAGTTCAAGTTCAAGTGGGACTGGAACGATAGGACGAATCCCGTAAATGTTCCTTCTTGAGCGGGTCGTCGATCCAGGAGTTGATAGGGGTGTTCCGACTTCTTGATGGGTCTGAAAGGAAAACACCCGAAAAACACCCTGGTCCACCAATTTAATTCCCAAGTTCCTCACATTAGCTGTCCCAGCTGTCAGTTACGTGAAGTAGGTAAGAGTAAATGAAAAAGCGAAGGTAAGAGAGTAGGGGAAATAAGTTAAAAGAAGAGAATAATACCAATGACGAGGAAAAGTAAAGAAAAATAGGATCGAAGTATGAAGATGGGAATTAGTCAGGAAAAAGGAAAGGTTTCGTGTTGCCACCCAAGAGCGTCTAGTTTGCGCTCAAATCCCTTAACCGTAGCTTCCTTGGCAACATGTTCTGGAAGCAGGTTCCAGCGCTCGATGACTCGACGTGATAATCGTGTCTCCACTCCAACTCGATCGGACCGCGGTTTGTCCAGCTTCACACAGTGACCGCGAAGACCAGATAATCTTGCAGTACTAAATAGCATGGACAAAGCAGGGCCAACCTTCCCAGTCAAAATACGGTAGTTTAGTATTGGGTCCCCTCTAACCCTTCGATTGTGCATTGACTGCATCCCCAAACTAAGTAGGCGTTCGGGGTACGATTGCCCTCGTAATCCCTTGACCAACCTAATACCGACACGCAACACCCTTTCTAGTGCCATTTTGTCCCGGACAAGACACGGTGGACAGACCTGGACGCAATGTTCTAGGTGGGGTTGCACAAACGCTGAGCAAATCTTCACAAACACATCAGCGGTTAGGGTCCCAAAAGAACGACGGATAAACCACAACACCCGGAACCCTTTACTAGCCGCTTTGTTCCAGTTGTCTCCATAGTGTGGGACAGTGGACGACACCTATATCAACCTGATGAGTCACGTGAGGAAGTTCACTCCCATCTAGCACATAACTTGTGGAGGAATCAGACGCTCCGATATGCACACTGAACACTTTGCCCGTTTAATGGACAGCAACCACAAGACAGACCATTCCCAGAGTCTATCCGGAGTCCGTTGAAGAGCCACAGAACCCCAGGGATATCAACAACACTCCAGAGCATTAGGTCATCAGCAAATAAGAGCGATGGTACCTCAAGCTCCTCCGGCAAGTCATTCACTTAGACTGAGAAAAGCAGCGGACCTAGGACAGAGCTTTGCGGAACGCCGCTAAGTACAGCTTGTCGAAACGAAAGACTGCTTCCCACACGAATACACCGTTCCCGTCCATCCAGAAATGCTGACACCCATTGGAGAGCGCGACCAGCATTTCCATACGACCTCAACTTCAGTGAGAGTCGCGAATGGGGGACAGTGTCAAAAGCCTTAGCGAAGTCAATGAACACCACACTCACCGCATTTCCACTGTCTACGGCTTCAGCCCAGCATTCACGAGCTACCAGCAAGTTCGTCTGACACGAAAATCCTTTGCGGAAACCATGTTGCTCGACGCAAAACAGTTTACAGCTACTTAAATGTTTCTCCACTATATCTCGTACTAATTTTTCAAGTAACTTAACGACCACGCTAGTCAAGCTGACAGGCCTATAATTAGCCGGTACGTCTTTGTCACCGCACTTGAAAATCGGGCAGACAACAGCTTCCTTCCATTCGGTAGGCAAGGCACAGCTGTTGAGTGACTTCTGAAACACACAAGTCAGAGGTCCTCTGAGTTCCACTGCCAGTGCATGCAACAATTTTGGATGAACTGAATCTGGCCCGGAAGCCTTAGTTGGGTTTACCTCTCTTAGCAACCGGAGAACTTGGGACTCAGTTACAGGAATTTCATCCAGACAACAGTCATCAGAAACTCTTGAAGCTAACTCTTTGCATGGCCTTTGTTTCGCCGACAAAGACGCTTGAGTACTGCTTACCACGTACGCATGCCTTGTCATAGTCGCTATAGGCATGGGTCCCATCTCCTCGAAGCAATGGTGATATGGGCGAGTTTGCACCACAGCGTCGTTTAACGTAAGCGAATGATTTCTCGGGATTTTTTGAGGCAGTATTAGCTAAGCCCATTTCCTACTGAAGTCGGGCCAACCTAAGATGTAGCTTGCACTCATTTCGAACCAACCGATACTTGTCAAACGTGCTGTTCGACAGAGCTGTTCGGTATGCTCGCCAGCATCTAGACCGCTTCTTTAGCAAAGCCCTTCCCCGCGGAATCTATCCACAGAGGCTGCGCTCTCGATTCCCCTCTTTTTACCAGTGGGATGTGAGGTGAAGATAGGTCTACGAGGTGAGCCTTAAGTTTTTCCCAGGCTATGTGAACAGTACCGGTCTCAAATGGCACAAACGGCGATGACCTAGCTTTATCTCGCATCGCTTGGAAGGCCGAGGCCAAAATGTTCAGGTACCAATTGGTAGTGGCTTGGCAAAACCTGATGAGAACACACTGGAAAGACAAGCAAACGTGCTCGTTAGCGCTAAGAGGCGAGTAGTATTTAATGTCATTTACAAAGTCAAGTGACTTAGTAAAAACGAAATCTAAAATGGACGGCTGCTGATTGCTCATGTACCTGGTGGGGCGGTCCACGAATGGTTGTGGTGGTACCTGCAGCATTAAGTCCAGCCGTTCTGTACCAAATGATTCTAGCGCCGAACTGCAAGGTAGATCATCCCAATAAATCTCTTGGAGGTTACAGTCTCCCAGCATCAGACACTTGTTGGCAGAGTGAGTGCGTATAGACAATGGACAATTGTTTATTACTGGTAGAAAAGCAGCGCTTAACAAGTCCCGTGGGATGGAAATTATTGCGAAAATAAATTGCATAATAAAGTGAAAAGCGTTGTGGTGGACTCACCATAGACTTATGTGAAATAGCGGAGATGTTCGCATATTAAACGTATAAACCCATAAATCCAATGGTTAGGCGTTTGGCAAGGAACCGTTTGATTGCGTTTTGTAGCCCCTGGCTAACAAGTCATAAAAGGAAATGTAAGTGAGACAACGTATCGTCAACACGTTTTTTAAATATCGCCAGATTGGGAGCAGAGACGACATAATTAGGGAGGGCATTCCAAGGCTCACACACGCGGAGAGAAAAGAAATTTCTACGGCATTCAAGCCGGCTATAATGATTTGTCAGTTTCAGAGGGTGACCTCTTAGTTTAGCGTTGTGGTTCAATTCCAGCAGCGGACGGCAAATGTGGTTTGGGTTCTTCAGAATCTGGTAAACCATTATGAGATCCCCCCGCAAAAGCCGATATCGACTGCTGTAGATTCTTAGAGATTTCAGTCTAAGCTGATGGGGCAGATGAAAGAGACCCCTGACGTTCTTGGTTGCCCGTGGTTGGGGAGTCTCGAGAGCAACGAGATCCTGTTTCTGCCACGGCTGCCACGCCTGACTAGCATATTCCCCGTGAGGTCGCACGTATGCGTTAAGCATTTGGGGAAATATTGATGGTTCAAACCGACCGAAGGCTCTGCGAAGAAGGCCGAAGTGTTGATTGCCGGTTCTTGTCGCCTTCTCTGCTTGGTTTGAACACCCGAGATCTTCCTGTACTAATACACCCAGATCCCGCTCCTGAGAAACCTTCGCCAAGGTGTGGTCTCCAATCTTGTAAGCGCTCGCCAGCTGGTGATGCAAATGCATCACTTTGCACTTAGCCATGTTCAATTAAAGCCTGTTCCACTTTGACCATCCGTAAATGCAGTCTAGGTCATGTTGGAGCAGATCCTGAGCTGCCTTGTTACTAATCGCCCGCCATATCTTGACGTCATCGGCGAAAAACAGGAAGTTTGAGGAGATGACTCTTGCCAGGTCGTTGATAAACACTAGGAATAAACGCGGTCCCAGCACTGAGCCTTGCGAGGCACCACATTCCACCTCAATTGGGTTAGAAAGTGATCCCCTAACACGTACTTGAAGCTTTCGTTGGTAAAGGAAGTTGCTAATCCAACCAAGTACAAGATCTTTGATTCCGTAACTTTGTAGTCTTTGAAGTAGGATGCAGTGATCAAGGCGGTCGAAAGCTTTGGAGAAGTTCAGATAGATGACGTCGACCGACTCCATCATCGGCCACTTCCGTCCAACTACCTCGTGCAATAAGTAGGTTGGTGGTGCATGACCGGTGTTGACGGAAGCCATGCTGTTCCGGTACCAAGATGTTGCATTTTTCCAGGTAGTCCATTAAAGCCTCAGCGACGACTGCTTCCATCACCTTCGCGAGCACAGGGAGGAGAGTCACTGGACGATAGTTTGCAGGATCGGAACGGCTACCGCCTTTAAAAATAGGGGTTATGATGCTACACTTCCACATAGTGGGGACTTGTTGTTCATCAAAGCACCTTTGGAAGAACTGTGACGGTGGTTCAGCTCGCTTGGTGGCCACAGCCTTCAGTGCCTTCGGGCGGATGTTGTCTGCTCCCGGAGAACTATGTTCACGCAGTGAGAGCAACTTGCGAAGCACAACTGATGGGTTGAAAATAACATTTGTAAACACAGGTGTCGGTAATGAGCTTGATATTATGGGGCAGGTAGCTGTTGCGAGTTCAAAAATTGGGGGCGTATTGCAGCCGCAGGGCATCAGCTGCTTCGTCGGCGCTTTGTACTCTACCGTTTGTCGTGAATAGTGTGGGTATTCCACGCTTCACTTTACGATGCTTATTAAATGAATAAATAAATAAACTTTTATTCTCGACGAGGCAAGGCACACCTTTACAGGCATGATCATGTTTAGCTAACATAGTGTAATCAAAAATGTACAAAAGTTACATGTTTGGCATAACAGTGTATGTAAGTGTATAGGTGTATATATGTATGTAATGGTGTACGAATGTAGCTTGTGTCTTTGAATATGCCGCAGCATTTTTGACTGTTTGTTATCCTCAGG